GTGCTCTCAGCAAGGACAGGGAAAGTGAGGGTACATTTAGTGGAACAGAAAGTCTCTTATACCCTGTTTGTAAAGAAGCAGATCTGTGCCCTAGAGCTGCAGGGTGGCTGGCTGGTTTCCTTGAGGATGCTCATTAGTGCAGTAGTTCCATGTTGGTGGTAACAGCCTGGCAGGGCTGACTCTGCTCCAAGGTGGAGCTCAGAACAGCAGCAGCCCTTGGCAGGAGCTCCCAAGGCCACCAAGGGCATTGTACCCTCACTGTGTCCTTTACCTGAGCAGGGCTGCTGAGGAGGAACCGAGGCTGGCAGGGGGTTATTTCCTGCTGGTTTCATAAGTTCCTGTTAGGCCAGGCTGCTTTTGCTGTGAGAACAGCTGTTCAGACAGATGCTCTGGCCACCTCTGCCTCGGCGACGGTGTAGAAACCAGTTTGCATTTCCTTGCCTTCCAGAGGAGCAGTGTCAGGCAAATCCCTCCTCCAGCTTCACACGGAGCAGTGTCACTCTCCTGGCTGTGGCCTGGAGCTGGGTGATACCAGGGAGCCAGAAACACCAGAGGAACCTGTGTCTGTGCCAATCGTCCTAGCTGGCTGCCTGCCAGCAGAGCGAGCCTGGTGCTGCTCTGTTCACACACCTGTGTCAGGTGTCAGCCCAGGGGAACTTCTCGTGCTGCCCCGTAACCGCATGCCAGAGAGTCAGCAGTGTTTGGTGGAGTGACATGTTTTCACCTATCATATTGGAGGGCGGCAACAACAACAGAAGACACAGTTATCAGCTCTTTTGGGGGAGGTATGAGGATAACAAAATGTCCTGTGAAGAGGGAGGAGCTGACCAGCCGACTATTCAGCCTGTTAGAGCGAGCCCGGGGCGGTGCTGCCGGTGTCACTCCTGGGCGTGACTGTGCCACCACCTCTCTCCCCAGGGGCTGGAGTGGCTCTGCTCAACGACCACATTTACGTGGTGGGTGGGTTCGACGGGACAGCCCATCTCTCCTCCGTGGAAGCCTACAACATCCGCACCGATTCCTGGACAACGGTAACGAGCATGACCACGCCCCGCTGCTACGTGGGGGCCACGGTGCTGCGGGGCCGGCTCTACGCCATCGCTGGGTAAGCACTGCTGGCCTGCACGGCCCGGCCCGCGGCTCTGTGCGCTGGAACGGGGCAGCTGAGGGGACACAGCGGCCGCCCCATCTCAGCTGGCCGCTCCTCACACTGATATTTCAAGAGGGGACGGCCCACAGGGTCGCCGTGCCCACCCAGGGCCTAGGCAGGCGGGAGAGCAGCAGCAGACAGCAAGGGCAGCCTCATGCAGGCGTTCCGTTCTGGGCCGTTCCTGCTCTGCGCGGCTGTCCGGCCTCCCAGGAAGGGCTCTGAATGCCTCAGCTTCTTCCTCCAACGCCATCCTTCACCTGTAACTTTCTGTCCTGGCAGATACGATGGCAACTCACTGCTGAGCAGCATCGAGTGCTACGATCCCATCATTGACAGCTGGGAAGTGGTCACCTCCCTGGGCATGCAGCGCTGCGACGCAGGAGTCTGCGTCCTTCGGGAGAAGTGATCAGGAGGGAACTCACAGAGAAGAACATTCTAAAAAGTCTCGGCTGGAGGAAGAGTCCCAAGTGATTTGCAGTGACTGTTCTTGAGAGTTGTGGATGCTGTGGGAATAGGCACCAGAAGAGCAGCTTTCTGTGCTGCTTGTGACTAGAGCATGTGCATAACCGTGTGATCTCAGCAGTCATTTGAAATCAGGGGCTCTATGGGAAGCTGGAGGAAGGGGGTGAGTGGGTCATGAGAAGCTGCACTCTCTGCTGTTCCTGTGGCTTAGTCTATGGGCAGAGCAGAGATGCCCCAGCCTGGCCTCAGCCAGCCTGGTGAGCCCTCCCAAGGACATGTACATACCACTGGGTCACCTCTTCAGCCACCACAGGACCCCGTGGGTCCTCGGGTCACTCTCAGCCACGTGGATGTGTGAGGGTGAATCCAGCTGCTCTTGTGTTCCAGCTTCAAATCATCATGTACATATGAATGTTCAAACGTGCTCCTTGAGCACACGTGGGTGCAGAGCCAGATTGGGTGAGTGTGTGTGAGGGGGGGCTGCAGTGTCACTGTGTCTGCAGGTTCCTCCCAGGGCTGCACACAAAAGGAGTCACAGGTTAAAGCTGTCAACTACTGAGACCCAGAAGCCTGAGGCCGCAGGGGCAGAGGGCAGGGGGGAAGCTCACTGCCTGCTGCAGAAGCAGGGCTGCAGTGTTTGTGCTCTTGATCAGGTGCTCAGCAAGGTTCTTCACATCGTACTTCCCTCAAGAAGCTTGAGAGCCCCAGCTGCAAAGCGCTGCCACCTGTGGCACCAGGAGCCCTCCCTGCTGTGCTGCGGCCGTGCCTTTGCTCCCACCCTGCAGGGAGGTCACCTGAGCTGAGGCCATGAGAGCAGGGACACAGTGGCTGCTGCCCACCACGGTCTTGCTGGAGAGTGACTGGGGTTCATCCCTGGACACACCTGAGTCCAGCACACCCATGGCAGCCTTTCACTCAAGTTTATTGTGTTGGTTTTCCTTTTATCTAGGATTTTTCTGCTTCCGGGGCTGTTCTGGAGTAACATCCACGATTCCGTTTTGCCCTTTGTTCTCAGCTGTTTATTCCCCTGCCCACATCCTCTGACACTTGCTATCCCTCACCTGCCCCACAATTGGGCTCCATCGCTGGCTCCCTGGAGCACTCCCTGCTCAGCATGTGTCCTGCCTCGTTGTGTTCCTGGGAGCACAGGCTCCCCTCTGCCATCAGCTTGGCCCCACAGTGCCTGGGCTCTGTGTAGTGCTGCTCGTTGAGCTTCCTGCTGACTCCTTGCTTGGGGACAGGGTGGGATCAGGGACGTGGTAGCATGACTTAAGCACTTTCAGCCAACGCTCTGAACCTTCTGCGTTTGTTTCTATCACACAAGTGTTCTGTGGTTTTGTTTCCTATGTTTATTTTCTAATGAAAGTATAAAGAATAAAATATTTCCTGAGCCAGTGGGAGTTTAGCTTCTGTTCTCTGCCTTCCAGACCTTTGCCTAACTACCATGTAGAGGGTTTGTGCAAACCCTGTGTTAGACCAGGCAGCCACCTTCAGCTGTGTCTCTGCCCTGCAGTTTCAGCCTGGTGGTGAAAAACAGCTGCTCCAGCTGTGAGATCCACAGCACAGAGACCAGCCAGGCCTGGAGGACTCGCTAACGGGGGGATTTGTTGCAAGGTCCGTTGGAGAAGAGCACAGCAGCAGAGATAAGGGAAAGGCTGTGATTACAGTCGACAGCAATAATTAGTCCTCAGGGGCTGAACAAGAGCCCAGGTGTGCCCAGGTGGCCAAGAAGGCCAGTGGCACCTGGCTTGTACCAGGCAGCAGGACCAGGGCAGTGACCTGCGCTGGGCACTGCTGAGGCCTCTTGAATCCTGGAGTCAGTTCTGAGACTCTCACAACAAGAAAGACACTGAGGGGCTGGAGTGTGTCCAGAGAAGGGAACGGAGCTGGGGAAGGGTCTGGAGCAGCAGGAGCAGCTGAGGGAGCTGGGGGGGCTCAGCCTGGAGAAAAGGAGGGCTCTGTGCAGGGGTGCTGCTGAGCTTCTCACCACCCTCCTGCACCCACTCCCCTCTCAGCTCGGCGAGGCCCGAGCTGGCTCCACACACACACAGGTGGTTCAGGAGCTCCCAGGCACTGTTCCTGCCTTAGAAATACTGGCACAAGTCACAGGGGAATGGGGTTATGTCTGCAATCTACACTCACCCCCCATCCCATGGCAGGACTGCCTAGGCTGGAGTCTGAGATGAGCAGCTGGATTGCTGATGAAATCCTGTACCTTTATGTAATACTTCAACATCAGTTCCCATTTCTGGCTTCTCCTGAGAGTTCTTGGCAGCAGACAGTGAGGAGACAGTGAGGCAGCAGGAAGATGGTGCATATTTATACTAAATGGCCAGAAAAAAAAGCAAGAATTGGAGCTCTTCTGGGATCTGGTTTACTCCCTAAAGAAGCAGTGGTTCAACTGAAAGGTCTCTTTCAGTCTTTTCAACCATACTAACAACAGTGGGCCATTGGCAGCAGGTCCCAAGACCAGCACACAGCCACAGGGGCTCAAAGGTGCTCAGTGAAGAGCAGCACAGTCGCCTGTGCCCCAGGACTTCTCCAGCACTGCTGCCTGTAAACACTGGCACTGCCTCCTGCTTTGCCCGGGCTCTTTGGGGTCCTCTCCTGGGAAACACATTGCTCCCAGTGTCAGCCCCCTGCCCCTTTCAGTGCCCTCTGTGCTCCCCCAGTTTGGAGGGGGGTCTCTCTGTAAAAAGCAGCCATGTGAGCTGCTGTGTGCAGCAGCAAGAGTGTACCCAGGCTCTCCCGAACGCTGATGCGACCACTGCACGCAAAATACGGGCAGCAGCTTCACAGAATCCCAGAATGGGTGAGGTTGGAAAGGACCACAGTGGGTCATGTGGCCCAACCTCCCCCAAGCAGGGTCATCCCTGAGCACACGGCACAGGACTGTGTCCAGACAGCTCTTGAATATCTCCAGTGAGGGAGACTTTGAAGGGAGACAATTTCCCTTTGTCCAACATCAACTGAGCTCCTTCTTCTACCTCTGTGACAAAGTCAGGTGTCTCCAGACTCCCATTCCGGTAAGTGACGGTCCCTGATGGTCCCTGCGGGGCTGCACACGACAGACAGACCCTCGCTGCTGGCTGGTGGCACATCCCGGGATCAGGTCGGGGGGATCAGAATCCCAGACTGGTTCGGGTGGAAAGGGACCCTTCATGGGCAGGGACACCTTCCACCGGACCAGTTCACCCCCAGCCCCGTGGACACTCCCAGGGATGGAGGAGCCGGGTGGGACCGCCCGAGGACGGGGGGCAGGGCCGTAACGTCAGCGTAGCCCGTGGCGTGACGTCACAACCCGCGCACTGAGCGAGGGGCGGGGCCATGGCTGTGACGTCAGCTGCGCCTGTGTCCTGACGTCACCGCCTCGCCCCGCCCGTCGGCCATGGCGGCGCCCTGCGCGGAGATGGAGCCGGCGGCGCCTCCTCCGTCCCCTCCTCCCGCTCCCGCTCGCTGGTGCGCGCAGGGCCGCAACCTGCGGCGGTTCTGTGTGCCAGCGCTGCGGCTCCCGAGTGCTGCTGCCCGGCGCCGCCCACTTCGCCCGCCGTGAGGTACCCGGGGGTGCCTGGGGGAGCGGGGGGCGGGCGGTGCCGGGGCGGGCGGTGACGGCCCGTGGTGTCTCCGCAGCTCCTCCTGCCCGCCATGAGAGAGAGGCGGCGGCGCGGCGGCGGCGGGAGGCGGCGGGGATGTGCTGCGGGAGCACTGGCTGGTGCGCGACATGTTCTCCTTCGAGAACGTGGGGTTCACCCGCGACGTGGGCAACGTGAAGTTCCTGGTGTGCGCCGACTGCGAGGCGGGGGCCCATCGGCTGGCAATGCCTGGACGACAAGACAGCTTCTACGTGGCTCTGGAACGCGTGGCCACGAGTGAGCGCGGCCCCGGCACCGGGCTGGCAAGCTGGGCTCGGCCGCCGGGAGCCCCGACAGCCCTGAGAGCCACAGCCCGGGCTGGGGCCCGGGGCACTGCCGCGCTGGCAGCAGGTGGGGCTGAACGGCCACGCTGGGCAGCCCAGTGTGTGACTGACCACGGCCCGGCTGGGCAGCCCAGTGTCTGACTGACCACCCCAGTGTCTGACTGACCACAGCCTGCCTGCCCTGTGGTGTGACTGACCCACAGCCTGACTGGTCGCCTCACGTGCCGGGTCCACAGGCTGAGCAGCGCCAGGAAGCGCAGCCCTGGCACAGCCAACTCCTCTCCCACACAGGAGGGATGGTGGTGGTGGGAGGGTCCCCTGTGACCTGCAGGGACATCTCACCATGACAGTTTTGCCAAATAACCCGATCTGCCACTGTCTGCTCTGTCACTTCCCCCGTGGCTGCTGTTGCTCCAAGGTGCTGGGATGCCTCTCAGGCTGCTGGCTCTGTGACACCGTGTGAACGTGGGCACTGGGAAGGGGCGAGGGGAGGACACGACTGCTGCACTGAGTTGTCGTGGCAGCTAAAATTGTCTGACCTACAGCCAGAGCAGTTGCGGGGTTTAAGGCTGAATCTTCTGCTGATTTTCAGAAGGAATGTTCCCTGCCCCAAGGCCTAACATTTACATTCTCCAGAATCTCATCCCACCTGACAGCTGTACACTGTGGGAGTGTGTGGCACCTGAAGTGAGTGTAAGGCATTCCAGCTAACGTGTGCAGTTCCATGAACTGAGTACCTGGAAACCAAACACAGTACAGGTAAAGCAGCTGAGAGAGCAGCAAATAAAGAAAATGTGCCAGATCATAGTGTTTTCAGGCAGCAAGAGTGAAGAGATTCCAGCCTGAAAAGGATCTGAATCGTTGGACAGGCAGTGTGCAGTGACTGTATATACCAGTGCTGAAGCATGTCAGAGTAGCCACTTGTGTATGTTTTAAAGAAGTCAGGAAAGAGTTTCTCTTCTGTAAAAGCACCTGAGAAGAGCAATCTGGTATGTTGTGACCAGTTTTAGTCTCTGCCTTTTAAAAGCTGGGCACAAAGCTGACTGAAAATGGAAGGAGGCTGCAGCAGCTGTTCTCTGCATTTATCGTGGCCCAGTTCATCCTCCATTGCAGACTCCAGACTGAGTGACAGAGCAGCTCTCCAGGGATGCTCTGGGGTCCCTGGTGCTGTGCCTCTGCTCATGAGCACTTGGGTGCTGACCCAGCTGTGAAGGCGCAGCTGTCACCGTGCTGGGATGATGGAGTTGTTTGGGCCACCAAACTCCAGGTGGGTTTTACCTGCAGATCGAGGACATTTCTGCCTCAAGGCTGTGCGAGGGACCTTTCCCTCTCTCCTCTAATGAAGCAGTTTTGTTGGCAGGAGTCTCTAAGGCAGGCACAGCCTTGGGCAAGGCTCCCGGAAAGGCCTCCTGACAGCGGGAGAGGGAGAAACAAGCCTCTTCTCCCTGCAGGATTTGAGCACCTGCACTTTTAAGATTTGGAGACTCTGCCTTAATGTAGAACAACCAAGGTGCTGGCTGTGCTGGGGCTGCTCCATCAGGAACCTCTGCTGTGGGCAGTCAGGATTTTTCAGAGGAGGGAGAGGAGCAGAACTGTAGGCTGGGGGCTGAGGCTCTTGCTGGAGCAGGAGGTGAATCCTGTGCTGTGCCCTTGTTAAATGTGTCAGATGCACATTTGACATGAAAACTGCTGCTTCCCTCCTGCCCTTCCTGTCTCTTAGTCCTAGCCCAGTGACTCAACAGGTTCATCAAGGGGATGTACCTCAGAAGGCAGGAGAGCTTCACTTGGGTTCTGCACAGGCACAGCAAAGTGGTGGGATCATGTCACTAATTTCACACTTTCACTTGGATTGTTGTCTGTTGGGGAACATGTTTTGACCTGTAATGCCCCAGTTATAGTCTGTGTTACTTAAATATAACATGTGCTGCACAAGCTTCATTTTGAAGGCACCACTGTGCAGAACAGGTTGTGGAAATCAGCTTGGCTAACACTGAGTAAATGACCTTCAAAAAATAGTACATGTATGCTGATACTGGGGAGTAGTGGGTGGCACTGGGACGGAGCTGGGGGGTGGTGGCAGCTTTCCCAGTTAGTAGAACACTTCTGGATGGGTGGGAGACCTCAGGTCAAAGGCCTTCACATCAGAATGGCAGTGATTTGAATCCACCTCAGTGCAGCACTGCTCAGTGATGAGTGCTGGGAGCTCCTGCTGCCCTGTGGTGCGAGAGGGGAGGTGAGCCCTCCATGGAATCCAGGTGTGCTTCCTGCTGACTCCTAAATATAGAACAGGAGCTCACAGGCTGTGGAAGTGCTAAGAAGAAGTGAAAAGTCTGATGGGAATTCTTGAGACGAAGCTTTTGTGCCATGAGATCTTGGGATCTTTTCAGCCTCTTGTGCTGTTAGTGGAGCTTTGGGGGATGAATGTCCTGGTCAGCAGACATGGGGGAAGAGCTGCTGCTCCTGCACTGGACACACCACCAGGCTGGGGAGCTGCTGAAGTGCTGCGCTGTTCCTGTGTCAGTGAGAGCTAATAAAAATTCAGAGAGACTTACAAATAAACATAATCTTTTCACTGCTTTTTATCCAGCATGTTGAAACACTGTTTTCTGGTTACCTGCAGTAACTCCTAGGAAAAAAAGGATAGACAACCCTCAGGCACAGGAAGCACTTACATAAAGACCTGGAAAGGCTCATCTCTTGCAGCCCATTTTTCTGCATCAACACCAAGACAGAGCAGAAACCCTTATTTCCACGTGCAAGTCACTTTAAATTAATTTGAAAATGGGTTCTTCTATTTAATGGCTGCATAGACTTGACTCCTAAGACCACTCTGTGTTGAGCTGTAGCAGTGCCACGACAGGGAACAGTAATAAACCTGTGCCCCTTGGGGAGGGGGAACAAATAATAACAATTTTGTCTAACTGCTTCCCAGTGTGGATTTAAGGCATGCCTGTTTGTATGGGTCGGGTGTTTATATGGCATAAATGTGTTCAGTATGGTTAAAAGCAGACCTTGCTCTGCTCTGGCTCTGGTATTGAGATGGGTTCACAGCCCCAGAGCCGTGGTCTGGGCTTGGCTGACAGTGGCACCCTGTGTAGCTTCACCCCTCTGCTCCCATTCCCACCCAAGCCCCTTCCCCGAGCAGCTGCTGAACCCTTTGCATGTTCAGTTTGATAACATAGGCTAAAGCTTCTTTTCTTGGGCTGGTGGGCTGACCTATGGGAGTTTGAGCTTTGCAGCCTGTGAGATAATCCAGAGGCAATGGTAGGATGAAGGTTCTTCCCCCTTTCAGCAGCCAGAGGTTGTGAGATCATCTGAGCTGTCCTGGAGACCTGCCACAAGTCATGCCTTGCACAGACTCACAATCACACTCTTCCCTAAATGAAGTGCATTTCACTGATCAGGTAAGGGGTGCTTGGAGCAGGGACTGGAATTCAATGCTCCCTCTTTCCCCAGCTCTGCAAGTCAGCAAAAGGCCTTGGTGTCTGGGCCTGCCAACACCTGAGGTCTCTCCTGATTCCTCACCTCTTGCTGAGGAAATCTGTGGCAGAGCAGTGATGACAATATGGATTTTGAAGGAGTAGCTTGGAAGACTTTGCTGTTCTGCCTCCCTGCTGCGTTCCAGGGCTCTTTCATCCAGCTGGTCTGCATAGAGGCAGCCAGGAGGGGTTAAAGTGTGATCCTTGCAACACCTGCACTCACTCTGTGGAACCTGCTGCCTGCAGGTACAGAGGGGAGGGGCTCAGCAGAGTTCAGAGAAGAGCTGTGAGTTGATAAAGCAGGGCCAGCTTGGCCAGGAGGGGTGGTTGTGGTGTTCCCTGTCCTGCACAGCTCACCTTGCTGCTTTCCCTAAAACCTCTGTGTGAACAGGGGCCACCCCATCAGCACAGGCAGTGCTGCAGGGGGAGTGTTTGGGGCAACAGGGATCTCTGAAATGTATTATGAATTCCTCTGAAGGCTATTTTACGTGTCTGACATTACAGGAACAAAAGTAGGAGGAAAGGAAACAATGGAGAGGAAATAGCTTTGGGGTCCTTGGACAACTGGTGCAGGGAAAGCTTCCCTGCCTCCTGCAGAGTCAGGTTAATACAGGCCAAACTCTAAAATCAAAGAAACACTAAACCACCGAGTATTTTGCCAAAAACCACCGAGTATTTTGCAGCTGCTTGGGGACATGGAAGGAAACCACAGCAGATGAGTGGAACTTGCCATAAAAGTGCAGAGAGTACACGAGGGCTTTGATAAAAGCCAGCTTTGTTCTCCTTTCAACCAACACTTTTATGCATTTCAGCATAAATACTTGTGTGCTGAGTTGTGAGGCAGCCAGGTCTGTACGGGGCAGCTTTGGTAGAGCACAGCGGGGCCCCTCAGTGCTGGGGAGGGGAGGGAAGGGGGGATGGCAGCCCAGCAATCCAGGTGAGAGGTGCTGAGCTGTGGGGCTGTGCCCCTGGGTGGGGGAGAGAAGCCAGTTTTTGCAGGAGTGTTGGACTGTGCTCTGGAGTGAGTGCACCGGCGTCTGAAAACGACTTTACCATGCACTGGGTGAAAATCAAGTGCTTTGCTCCCCACGTCCAATCCCTGAGGAAGAGTGATCAGGTTCTGGGGTTGCTGACATAACACTTCCATCCCCTGAGAGAGGGAAATGGTTCTGGAAAAAACATTTCTTGCATTTTTCCTAAAACCGAATCCAGCGTGGCACAGTCCAACCCAGCGGTTGCTGCAATTCGACTTTTGAAATCCTGCACATCAGCAGTGGGAGAGCTACAGGGGTGCAAACAGCCTGTGGCAAAGGATCTGTCCCTTCAGCATCACAGGGGCACTTCCTGCGGGCTTCAGCTTTGGTTTGGGTTCAGATATGAACTGTCCAGATACAGCTTCTGCCTGGAGAAAGACACAGTTGCCCTTCCCTCCTTGGCAGAGCTCTGTCAGCCGTGGGCTGGGCTGGAGGGCACAGCCCTGGGCAGGCTGGTAGCCTGGAAATGCAGTTGGGCCTGGCGTGGGGCATGTGCTGCCCAGGCAGAGGAGGCCAAGGCAAAGAGCCAGAGCCATGTGTTTCCAGCAGCCCTGGGTGTGTCTGGCAGGACAGGGCAGAGCTGCAGGCAGGGTCTGTCCTTCACAAGTCTTCCAGGGCAATTTGTGAG